CACATGTATCCTAATTAATTATTGTTTCCTTTACACCCGACACCTCAATATGATGACGTCATAAGATGGTGTGTCGTACAAAATTCATAGAACAGTATCGTTTTTGACGTTTCGATAAAAGTATTAACTCGTCGAGTACCGGTTTTGTAGACACAATTATAGAACAATAGGTTGCGGTCACCGGTGACCGCTTGGTGTTTGACAGTTTAATTATGACTAGTCGGCAAGTACTCAATTTATAAGTAAAATAGGTTTAAAGTTCCAGTACGTACCGTTGCTGTGCTGCGCGGTGTAGGAGTGTATCTCGGAGGTAGTCTTCCGGATGCGCGAGTACACGTCGTCGGCCGCCGCGCCCGCGCCCGCGCCCGCGCCCGCAGACCGCAGCGGGCTGTCCGAGCCTGCTGGGAGCGGGCACATTCTACACTATTTCATCTACTGCCTACAAGTGCCCACTGCTGAGCAAAGCCTCTTCTCACACAAAGAAGGTTTGAGCATTAATCACCACGCTTGCTCAATGCGGGGTGGCGATTACAAACTTATAATTAGAAATTATAAGCCCAGGTTTCCTCACGATGTTTTCCTTCACCGTTTATCAGTGGTGTCTAGATAATCTTAGAAAGTACATATAACTCGGAAAAAGTCACATTGGTACTTGCCGTTGGTAGGTTTCGAACCCGCACCCTCATGCATGAGAAGCGGGCGTCTTAACCCTCTGGGCCACCACGACATTCTAGACTATAATCTGTATTAATTATTATGTTTTCGACTTACTCACATAACTGTTTAACGATTAACTCGACTAGTTTCAAGCCATGAGGCTACTTTGGAACAGGCGTAAGTTATAGTCTAGAATAATACATAGGCTACTTTTTAGAACGCGAGAGAACCCGCTGGTTGAAGCTAGTAAGAAATAGTATATGGCACTCACTGCTAGACGTCCTCCGTACATGTTGTTGTACTACTCCGTTGACTAGCGCCTGCGTCTCTGCTGGTAACTCGCTCATAAGCGCCGTGAACTGTAAACACATATACAGAATTATTTGTATACATATATATGGACAGTGGTGCACATTACGGCACTTAATGCCACTGTACAATGTAATACACTATTTATGTTATGGGTCCATGTAATAGGGAGTGAGTCTATTGTCATATACCAGGCACAATTCCAGGCTTTGTGCTATTACTGAGAATTTAAATAAAAACCCAGTAAAATTTAAGATTACGTTACGTCACGACACATGATATTTCAAATTAATATATCGTTGAAAGTATTTCATATTGTGAGAAAAGAAAAAATACGTGTCTAATGTTTTAACATAATCTACCAGACGGACATTAAAATTAAATTTAGGCCCTGTTCCCCTTTTTAAAGGCAATAACGTACTTATAGGTCCTCTAGTGTTACGAGTGTCCATGGGCGATGTTGATTGCTTACCATCAGGGTGCTTACTCTTGAAACCAATCTCAATGTCAATGCAATTTCAATCCAATATAATTCTCAATAATTATTCAATGTCAACACTATACAACCTCTTTCGTAACTGTTAAAATAACATTCAGAGTACGGAATATAAAGCCTAACACAATACCATTTAGTTCATTCAATATCCACGCAATACGGATGCAATGGGCGCTAGTGTTGTAACTCAAGATTACAAAATTTTACAATACCAATGACGATCGATCGGAATTGGATTCAAGAGTAAGCCCCCAGGTGGTAGTCAGTTCATTAGCCGTCCTATGTTAAAAAAAATGCTTTTTAACCACTTGACGGCTGTGATTAGTCGATTTCAAAGAATAAAAGTTCTCAGTTTTACCTGCATGTCTGTCTACGATAATCTCAAGGTTGCCTGAACCGATATTGATATGGTTTTCAGAGGAATAGTTATTGAGCAACAACAATATACTCACGGGTACCGGGTTACAGTCGTAGAGCGAGGCGAGTGCCCGGCGCGCACTGACCCGGACGTCCGCAGCGCGCGGGTCGCCCGCCAGCGACGACACCTTCACCAGCGCGCGCCCCGCCACGCCCGTCGCGCCGCCTGGAGGGTCAACAGATAATTAATATACAAACTCGTCTTATTGAACGCTACGATCGGCTATAGCTGACAAACAAAACATATAGTGACCCGTCACAGTCGGCCACAGTCGACAAGAAAACATGATTTTTAAGTACATCTAGTTTACCTGTACCTGCTCACTTCTGTCAAAATAACAAACTTTTGCATGCTATGTTTTATCTTAGAAAAACATGTTGAGCTATTGTAATAATATTAACACCAATGTGTACCATGTTTTACGCAAATAAATGATTTACTTTACTTTACTTTATTGGCTCTAGTCGACCGCGGCGGTCAAAAAATCAAACTCCCGCCTTTGTCTCACAGCCGAGTTTCGTAAACGGATTCCGAAACGTCTATCATTTAAAAAAAGGAAAATCATTTTTATATCGAAATGCTCTCCTAGCCTAAGTCGCCGCGACCGCGCACGCTGCTCATGAGAAAAAACCCCTCTGTGATTCGAAACTAGTAGAGCTTTTCTCAGTATATTCACGTGAGTAACCCGCGTTTTTTAGTTAACTTAGTATGTCTCACGATAGTTATTATAAAAACACAATACGTACCATGCAAAGCTAGTGCGAGACTGTTAGGAGTGCAGTAATCGTGAGCGAGGTCAGCCAGGAACCGGAGCGCGGCCGCCTTCGTTTTGGGGGTCGGGGCTGTCGCGCCGTCTGCTAGGAACCTGGGGGAAGAAAGATAGTTCATTTAACTGTGGCGATCAATGTAAATTTATTATCAACAGTCTATAAGTGTCCATTACTGACCAAAGGCCTCTTCTCACACGAATAAGGTTTGAGAGCATTAATCACCACGTTTACTGAATGCGAGTTGGCGATTTTAAGCTTATAATTAGAAATTATAAGCATCGATTTCTTCACGATGTTTTCTTTTACCATGTTTACATATTGATAGTCGCCTTTTCCTCATTCGTTGTTTACAACATGCGATGTGTGTGAGTGGCAATTCATCCCCACTGACTATGAGAACAATTATTGTGATACTCTCAGCATTAAAACTATGGGATAAGCATGCAATGACGTGACCTATATAGAGGTATAAATAAAAATGAATTTCAGTTCGTTAGTCTCGCCAAAACTAGAGAACGGCTGAAACGATTTGGACAATTTGGTCTTTGCGGAAGTCCAGGGAAGGTTTATAAGACAAGAAAAAAATTTTTAGACGATACGAAGTTTGCCGGGTCAACTAGTTTCAAATGACTTTAATTGTTCAGTCTATTGTGAACGACTGGTTCGGCTTCACTAATTCTTTCAAAGTCAAAGCATTTATTTCAATTAAACCATAATTTGGTACTTTTGAAACGTCAACAAATCCTTACTAATATTATAAATGGGAAAGTGAGTTTGTTTGTTTGTTCCACTTTCACGCCGTAACTACTAAACCGATTGCTTTGAAATTTAGCAGACGTAAAGTTAGAAGTCTGGATTAAATAATAGGGTACTTTTTATCCCGGAAAAAATGTATATTATCGAGGGAAAACGAAATTATTGGTATAGATGGCGCTGTGTGTATTGGTATATGTCACATAGGCTACTTTTTATCCTTTTGTGACGCGAGCGAAGCCGCGGGTAAAAGCTAGTATAAAATAAATAATAGTCAGTCAGTCAGTCCGTCAGTGAAGCTAGGTGCTCATTCTAAAATGTAAATTCGAATGGAGAAGAACGAGCAAGAAACTCCATTCGTTACTCTTTTAAAAATTCTTCTTTTTTTATACTTATAAAAAGTTCGAAATTGACAAGGACAATCAGGAAACAATAATAGGGTAGATGACTAATTTTTATTTTAACGTCCGTCTGGTAGATTATTTTAAATCATTAGACACGTATTTTTTATTTTCTTACAGAAACGAATACTTTTGAAGATATATTGATTTGAAATGTCACGTGACGTCACTTCTATGTACATTTTATACGTAGAAATGACGTTTTAGCCCCCACTCCTAAACTTTTATTCGTTATATCTAAATATCATTATTTATTATACGACAAAATAAAAAAATACGTGTCTGATATTTTTTCATTACCTAACTGACGGACTAATTAGATTTTTAATTTTCATACCCTGTCATCTGCCCTATTGACAGTATCAAACTGTGGCTACTCCTTAATGTCAACTCCGGCCACAACACATACCTGAATATATTATGCAGTTGTAGCTCGGCAGGGAAGCACTCGTGTATAACATCCAATGTCTTCATGATCTTACTCTGCACGGAGCCCAGGATATCCGTGCCTAGCTTCATTAGGAGCCTGGAAAAATAAAAAACTTACAATATATTAAAAGTACCGTGCATACATGAAAAGATTGATGACTGTTGATGAAGCGAAAGAGGTATGTAGGTATCGTAGTAATTGGCGTTCCATAGTCTCTGGCTAGCCCCATGGGAGACAGGCGTGAAGTTATGTATGTATGTATGTATATTAAAAGTACCGAGCATGCATGAAAAGATTGATGACTGTTGATGAAGCGAAAGAGGTATGTAAGAATCGTAGTAATTGGCGTTCCATAGTCTCTGGCTACCCCCATTGAAGACAGGAGTGAAGTTATCTGCGTATGTATTAGAAACAAGACTAAATAAAAGTTTGTAATTTTAACACTGTTTGCCATAATCCCCAAGCTTGACAGACAGATTATTCGATATTTTCAAAAACGTGGTATAATTTTTAAACCATACATTTTCGCTGAACATACATTGTGTTGTTTAGGTAGGTATTGGTCCCAGCTATCAGCCCTTACAGTATGACGCACTAATTTTTGAACACTGTAAATAAAAAAGTAAATCGTCGTACCTGAACATGAGTTGATAGAGCCAATCCTTGAGCTGCTGCCAGTGGACCAGCAGGAGCTCGCAGACGGCGTCCAGCAGCAGCGAGAAGACCTTGGTGTGAGCGTCCACGAACATCTTGTTCAACAAGTCCGTCAGGCGCCGGAGCTGCTCGTCCGTCAGCAGGCGCCCGCTGTTCAGGTAGTTGGCCTGGACACCAAGGCATTGTTAGTATACTACTTAACTCCTCGTTGGCCGAGTAGTCGCAAGTGCGACTGCCGGGCAAGGGGTCTCGGGTTCAATTCCAACAAAATATTACTGGGGTTTTTAAAAATTCTCATTAGTAGCATGGAGTTTGGAAATGTGCCGGTATATAGCAATAGGCTCACCCCCTATTACATGGGACTCAAATCATAAATAATGTATTTTAATGTATTATTGTAGTGTTTCTGTTGACATGTATTTTAATTCAATAATTTAATGTGTTATCGAAGTTTTTTCTTGACATGTATTTTAATTCAATGATTTGATGTATTATTGCAGTGTTTTGTTGACATATATTTTAATTCAATCATTTAATTGCTGAAGAATTTATGATTGAACTATTCTCATCTTAAAAAGTACCCAATTATGTAATTTCTTTCCAAATTGGATTTTTGTCATGTTATATTTGATTATTTCGCGTTTTATTATTATTTAAGTTCTGTTGATTTTATTTTTTGTTTTTTTTTTTTAGTAATATGACTGATCCATGCTGCATGGATTATATTGCAAAGTAATTTATGATTATGAAGACATTCAGATACAATGTAAATTGTTTATTGAATAAATGAAATGAAAGTGTATGTTACATTGTACAGTGGCATTAAGTGCCGTAATGTACACCTCTGTCTACTATACTACTACTAGTATACTACTACTATATGTATTCAAATCTATATAAAAGATAGTCGTGTTAGTTACACTAACTTATGATTCAAGAACAGCTAAATTGATTTATATTAAAATTGGTGGGGAGGTAGCTTAAAACCAAGAGACAGACGTAGGATACTTTTGAACCGACTTCAAAAAAAGGAGGTTATGTCTTGACCTATATGTATGTATATTGTATATGTATGTTGACAATACAGTTGGCCCGGTGGTTGAGCAACTGACTGCTGCGTAACGCGTCGCGGGTTCGCTTCCCGCACGGAACAACTCTTTGTGTGATCCACAGTTCGTTGTTCCGTGTCTGTGTGTCATGTGTATGTGAACTTGTATGTTTGTAAACGCACCCGCGACACAGGAGACAATCCTAGTGTAAGGCAACGTTTAAAAAAATAATGTATGTCTGTATGTTTGTGCGAGATTGTCTCGCCATTGACTGATGGTGGTGAGTTTTTTACAGAATGTTTTTAGTTGGATTATTATTTTATTACTTACCAAATGTGTGAGTCCATCCTTCCGTTCAGTCCAGTGCGTACAGGCGCAGAGCGCGATGATGTCGTCCGGCGGAGGGGGAGGGGGAGGGGACCCACACTCCCACCCGAGGCGGGACGCGGAGCCGGACCATGATACTGACTGTAGGGGTTGAAAGAAAAATAGAAAAACAATAATGTAACGCGACAATTCGATTTTGGTTTGTGTCGGACGCACGCGCGCAACTCTAGTGGCAACACGGCACCTCACTATTCCTCTTCCCCCGCTCCCCCGCCACTGACCGCTGGACGCTTGCGTGGAAACGTCACGAGGACCACAACGAGTTCCGCGCCGGACCCGCGACGCACACGCCCCATATTTGTGCCGCGAATATTTTGAGTTTTATCTTTTTTGTTTTATTGTGCAACCTTGTTTATACTTAGTTAAAGTTAATCCAATATTATACAGTGTACAGATCAATCGTGTGTCGAACTTCATTTCACGCCCTGAGAACCCAACCACTATGACAATCTAAAGATATTAATATAATTAATTTAGTATGTCTCATGAGAGTTATAATACAAATATAGTTAGTTTGTTTTTTTTAGTTAGCTGTATGATTGTTTTTTTTTTGTGCAAATAGGCTACAGTAGCATTTTTACATATCAAAGTATTCAGGGTCAGTTGAATTGAATAAACCACATATTTATAGACAATTTCGGCAATTGAATAAAGATCTATTAACTGTCGTAATCAATATACTAAATAACTAGGGCTAAAATAAATAAAAACTGAAGTATAATTGGAAATTATGCTTTCGAACCGTTTGGGGTTGAAATATTTAGGTCTAGAGGTCCAAGTGTACATCTTTACAAAGATATTGTAAATAAGGTGGGTGGTTAAAACTTCAGGTCATCGAAGGGCTGGCTACTACCTTGGGCAAAGGTTAAGCATTTCCATTCAACGTGGCAATGCTGCCAGTCTAAGGCACTATACTTCATGTGAGCACCATACCTAAAGTTTTTTTCCCTATCATATTTTTCTATATTTTTTATGCTAAATCAAAATATAAAACTATGTATTACTGAACAGATGGATTGATTATATTGGAATGACATTATAGTAGGTGTTACTTACATCATGCCTTCTATAAGAGTCGAGGCTACGTTCTGAACAGACGCTGGAAGCCTCGGAGTCATCATCCCGACCACGACCTCCCTCGCAGGCTGAACTGTCTTCCGGACTCTGGGGGAACAAACGAAATGAAATTTAGTAATCTTACTTTGGTACACACATCTACTTTAAAAAAAATCTCCATTTTAGGATTTTCATACAGGTTCACATTATACAAAGAGTTGCTACGTGTGAGAATCGAACTCGCTACACGGTACGCGCCAGCCGCTTGCCTAGCTACCGCGTCAATTTATAATAATTACTACTATAATCGCCATCGAGTCCCATCCATTGATATTTGAGTGATATAAACTGCAATCCTGAAGTCGTCCATCAAGTGTGGGAAATATGGAAACCAAAAGAATAAGGGGTCTCGGGTTCTGTTCCCGGTATATGGCAATAGGCTCACCCCCTATTACATGGGACTCATAACATAAATAGTGAAAAGTGGGTGTTAGATTGTACATTGGTATAATGTGCACCTCTGCCTACTCCTTCGAGGGTAAAAGCCGTGATGTCATGTTATTGTAATAACGAGGTGGAAAGTAATAAAGTTCGTGCGTACCCGGAGCAGGGCCTCTGCGTCCCTGGTCTGCTGCAGCAGGCGCAGCGTGGCGGCGGGCGCGCGGCTCGGCGCGGTGCGCTCCATGGACTCGCGCCGCCGGACACTGGCGCCCGCCACGCTGCTGGACCGCCCGCTCCTGGGGATACACCAAACACATTACTATACAATAGGGTACATGCCTAATTTTTATTTTAATGTCCGTCTGGTAGATTATTCTAAATCATTAGACACGTATTTTTTATTTTCTTTCAGAAACAATCGTCGTAATTTGATTATTGATTTGAAATGTCGCGTGACGTCACTCCTATGTACATTTTATGCGTAGAAATGACGTTTTAGCCCCCACTTCTAAACTTTGATTCGTTTTATCTAAGTATTGTTTTAATATACGACAAAATAAAAAAAAATACGTGTCTAATATCTTTTCATTACCTAACTTACGGACTAATTAGATTTTTAATTTTCATACCCTGTCATCATTCCAATTCAAGAGATCTGATTTCAGTAGTAAACGGCTAAAAACATGTAAGTAAGTTTTTCCTATTGTTTTTTATTGTAACCTTTTGTATATTATTTTGTTTATGTGAAGTATATACATTGTTTGTGTCATGCATAAGGGTGCGGCTTCGAGACCTGGTAAGCATCAATGTGACTTTTCCGAGTTATATGTACTTTGCTAAGATTATTTAGACACCACTGACAAACGGTGAAGGAAAACAATAAACCTGAGCTTATAATTTCTAGTTATAAGTTCGCCAACCCGCAATGAGCAAGTGTAGTGATTAATGCCCAAACTACTTCGTATAACAACAAGCCTTTGCTCAGCAATAGGCTGTTGATGATAATGATAGCTTTGAAGGTCTTAGTTTCAACAATAGACGTCTTATAACTGATAAATATTATGATAATAGTTTGATACATTACCTGGTAGGGCTGGTCTCCCTAGACCCAGCCAATGAGCGCGGTATACCAGACGGACGACGTCGAGCGCTCGCCAGGGATAGAGGGCCACTACTGCGGGATGATGGGGACGAGGATCGCGATGTCGCTGTTGATAAAATATAATATTTATTAATTATTAACTCTATATAAAAACCAAGATGGAGTTGCGAATAAAGCGCAATCAGTTACCGGGGCTCCGGCTCTATGCAGAAATAAGAACGTGGTAGTGAAGTCAATAAGAGCCTGACTCTCCCTCTTGCCTTACCCAGGGCGGGTGTAATCATAGACATTGACGAAGACAAGAGACGAGACGAGTCGACGAGACGACAAAATAGCTATATAAATAAGGTTTATTAATCTGAATTAAAAAAAAATAGCACAAATACGTGGAAGGTATTCTTTTATTTTTTGGTATCTATCAAGAGAAAGTTACTACAGATTTTTCTGATAAATGCCTCAGAAACCAATTTGCTGTGACGTCAAATATTCTGATAATTTAAAAGTAGCGGCTTGGCTCGGGTTTTTACTTAACTTTTGATAGTTTTACTGTTATTTTATTGCTGGATCCAATACAATTATTCATATCTTTGGGAGGCGTTGCTTTTCTTGAAGGTATTTCACACCTTCAAGAAAAGAACCGATATGACCTTCAGGTCGTATCGGTTCGGAAATACCGCCGACGACAGATTATTCCACAGTATTGCTGTGGGAGGCAGAAAGCTACGAAGAGCGCACAGTTCTGGCCAGCCAAACATCTATATAATGAGCCTTCTAATCTAATCCATAAGTCTATACAAATAAGGTATATTATCGAATAACTTACGTTGTGACTGTGAGACGCCGGGTCTGGACCGGGACCGGCCGACAGACCGTTCCGGACTGGGCGGCACTCCACTAGCCGCTACTGGCGAACGTTTGGCCCGCGCTGTTGGTAAAAAAGACACACATAAGTAATTATTTTATTAAGTTTAGACAGTACTTGGATATTTTCTATATGATAATATACTACTGCTGCTAACGACATAGGGTAAGTAGAGCCGTATCTGGGGGCTTACTCTTGAATCCAATTCCGATCGATCGACATTGGTATCTCTTGAGACCACACTAGCGCCCATTGCATCCGTATTGCGTGGATATTGAATAAACTAAATAGTATTAAGTTTGGCTTTATATTCCGTATTCTGAATGCTATTTTAATAGCTACGATTGTGGTTGTATTGTCGACATTGATTAATTATTGAGATTTGATTCGATTGAAATTGCATTGACACTGAGATTGGTTTCTAGAGTAAGTACCCTGTTATTCCAGATTCTGAATAGAGACGATGGAAAACGTTTCTATAATATTAACATACATATTTAACCATTTTTTTTCTTTCTATATACAGCATTAATACTAACATGACAAAGATTCAGGTACAGCTTGGCAACATAAAAAAATTGACGTGGTAAGAGCTGAACTAATATTCACGTGGACTGGATCACTCACTGCGGACCATATCCCATGAATAAATAATAATCCGAACATACGGTACCTCCTCTTTTTAAACTCGAAATAAATATTAAAACCGATTGGGTCATGTACCAGGTTGTCACTGGTACTTCAACCGTGCCAAGCTGTTGCAAATAATTGAAATGATTTAAATAGGAGTGTGAAATTAATTATATATCACGCTTTTTGAAGGAAAATGTGGTTCTAGACTAAAACTGTATAATAGTTTACAAATAAGTTTATTTCTGAGATATGTTCCAATCCAACAGTGTCATTCAAAGACAGGTACACTACCATAGATTAAAAAAAACATAACTCGATTCAAATAAAGACAACGCCACTAGTGGCGAGGAATATAAACTAGTTTGAGTTCTATTTTAATTTCAATATTTTAACACTTTTATTCTTCAAATGGGACAGCAAAAATTGTCTATCCATTGTATTAATAGAGCGACCCTTTTTGTCAAAATTGATATCGATATTTAATTTTAGGTTTTGTAGAATCCCGAAATAAAATGCCTCTATAATACTACTAATATTTTCAACCTGGACATGGACCCCCGATAGGCACTACAATCTTAAAGATATTTAAAAATATATACTAATTATATATACTATATACTATAATAAATAACAAAAATACCTGGTTGTGATATGTCTCCTTCTTCCGCAAAGCGTAAATTCAAATATAAATATAAGAATGTATAATTATTTATTTACACCCGTTTAACCTACATTATACATATTTTTTATACAATATAATAAAACTAATATACATTATAATATATAATCTTCATTGTTCTATTATTCTGTTATATCTTCGTCCATACGATTTCTGGTCCAAGCTGAAATTCAAAAACTTTACTCAATATTTATACTTTTTTGTATAAAAAAATAAGTTACGAAAATGGGTGTTGTTATTTTTGGAAAATTATATATATAAAGAGGATGACCATGTGAATATTGGAGTAATGTTTTTGAATTTCTTTGTTTATACTAATACTAGTGACCCGCCCCGGCTTCGCACGGGTGCGATATGCATGTATTATACATATAAACCTTCCTTAAGAATCACTCTATCTATTAAAAAATACCGCATCAAAATCCGTTGCGTAGTTTTAAAGATCTAAGCATACATAGGGACAGACAGACGACGGATAGCGACTGTGTTTTATACTATGATTATAAAAAGTTTATATTTTTGTTTCTGTAGGTAAGTAAGTAAGTTTGTAATGAAATACTACTGGACCGATTTCAAAAACCCTTTCACTATTAGATAGCCTCATCTTTACTGAGCAACATAGAATATAATAACAGGTCAACTGCTGCGTAGGTCACCAGTGACCGACGTTAGCGGAGGATTTGCCTTCAGCCGTTTTCTGTCGGCAGTCAAAGGCTTAGAGTAAGACTAATGTGGAAATACTCAATCGCTACTCAATTTAAAGTCGCACTTTAGTATAGTTGTGTCACTACAAATTGTTTGTGAAGTGACAGAGATAGTACGATATTTATGTACAACTTACAATAGGGTAGATGACTAATTTTTATTCCAATGTCCTTCTGGTAGATTATTTAAAAACGTTAGACACGTATTTTTTATTTCCTTACGGAAACGTATACTTTCGACGATATATTGATTTGAAATATCGCATGACTTCACTTTTAAGTAAGATTTACACTCTAAAATAACGTAGCTACCTCCCACTGCTAAACTTTGATTCGTTTTATCTAAGTACCTATTGTTTTATTATACTACAAAATAAAGAAATACGTGTCTAATATTTTTTCATTACCTGACTGACAGATTAAACTGATTTTTAATTTTTATACTCTGTCATCATCCCTATTGAGAAACTTTCCAGTATTTGGGCATTAGTCATTATTTTACGCGTTCAAAGTCGCGGGCAGAAGTTGAAGTGATTATACAAGTGATAAGACAGGCAGAAATATGTTATATAACTTTTATTCAGCCCGTTATTATTAGACCCCATTTTAATAGCGAGATGCAGTTAAAAACATGTAAAACTAGCTCCTGCCCACGACTTCGTATGCGCAATTCCGTTCCGGTTCTCACACGTGATTTTCGGCGTTAAAGTAAAAAAAATGGATAAAAGTGTCTATATCTATGTCATACGTCCGTCTCCTGGTTCTAATCTACCTCCCCACCAATTTTTATCCAAATCGATTTAGCCGTTCTTGGGTTATAATTAGTGTAACTAACACGACTATCCTTACTAATATTATAAATTGGAAAGTGAGTTTGTTTGTTTGTTCCGCTTTCACGCCGTAACTACTAAACCGATTGCTTTGAATTTTTGCAGACGTAAAGTTAGAAGCCCGGATTAAATAATAGGGTACTTTTTATCCCGGAAAAAATTGATATTCCCGAGGGAAAACAAAAGTATTGGTATAGATGGCGCTGTGTGTATTGGTATATGTCACATAGGCTACGTTTTATGATTTTATCCTGTTGTGACGCGGGCGAAGCCGCGGGTAAAAGCTAGTATATTATATAAATAGAGATGTTTTAGTATTTTTGTGTGAAAATATAATAATTTAAAAGATTTGAAACACCATGCATAATAAATATTATTTTGTACATGAATATAATAATAATAATAACAGTTTGTATTATCTTACTATTGAGCAAAGGCCTCTTCTCAGAAGGAAGGTGTATAAATTATTTAATTAACTTATGTTATATTGCGAATAAAATATAATATGTTATATTTGATTACAATATCTACAATGAAAGATAAAAACAGAACTCAATTTAATGATTAATTAAAAGAGATATCAACCACCGGTATTATTTAAATATATATAGAACAACAGTTAATGTTTATGATGATCGTTAGTAAATGGTTTAGCAATAAACCTGTGTTAAATAAAATAGTGTTAATTTGACCAACAAACCAAGTACCTCGAACAACTGCCCCTATAAAATTAAATCACAAATATTGCCAAAATAAAATAGGACGACTGGTCGCCATATTGTTATAGTTATGACGTCAGCTGGTTGTGTAAAAATAAGAATAAATCTGAAAATACTATAAATAATACGTTTTGTTTGAAATTATAGTTAACAACGGTGATTTTATTTTATGGTTGAAAGATTATAATTATTCAGTTCAGTAACTCATCATCTTGTTTTGAAATTTTCAGATGCATAATATTTACGTTTATTCATGTAATTGTAAATTATCTCGTTCTAATTTTAAACACTACCAGTGACAAACGCTTAGTCTGTGTTTGTTCGACGCACAGGCAGCTCATGTTTATAAGCTCCGGTATAGCTCGAAACTAATCGGGCACAAATTAATTTAGTGTTATATCATTGGAGAAGTCTTCAAAGATGATGATGACCACTGGAGAAGTAGAGGTTGAAAACTTAGCACATACCCATCACCCCCATCCCCCCTTTCCCAGCTAAGTAATGCTACGGATACTCACGCAGGCTGGCGGTGGGCGGCACCTTGTTGCGTCCCATGTGCGAGTAGAGGGCCCGCGCGCGCGCTCGCTGCGCGGCCGCCGCGTCCAGCGCCGACACCGAGCGCGCCGTCACCCCGCCCGGGGTGCGCTCCGCTATATACATACTCATCGTTACAATAATCACCCATTAAATACACACATCTTCAGTACAGAGACAATAGCCAATAGGGGCTGTCGGTAGAAAGCGCTCTAGACGGACATATACTGCCCAGATTGGCGACATATTAAAGAAGGGCCAAATTAAAAGTACTAAGGATACTTATACCCGTCGATTAAGACCGAAGCGAAAGAGGTATGTAGGAAAGGTGTTTCATAACGCCAATTGGTACGTCCCTGCCTACCTAGGAGACAGGTGTGAAGTTATGTGTGTATGTAGCCATTGGTTGTCTAGAGCCGACTGAGCTACAAAAGATATGGGTTCGTTACAAAGCGTACAATTTAATATAACAATGGCTACTGTCTCTACTGAACTGAATCAATGTTTATTTCTTACCGGCTACTAAATAATTGTGCAGACTGTACATCTAATTATAGGTAAAAATCAAAAGGTCGTTAATGTCACCTATCTTAGCTTAGGAATTTAGAAGAGGTTGACGAAAACGAACATAATTTTCTGGGATAATTCTAAAAATCTCAAATGTATTATTAAATTATGTAGTATTGATTGTATAGACTATAGCTGTACCGTCTCTCCCCATGGCGACGGGTATATGTGACACCGGCGGCCTCTCATGCGAGGCGCGGCGCCTGCGCAGCGAGCCCGACCTACTCACGCCCGATACTAGGTTCTCAGTCGACGCTGGCAGTTTGTATGTATGTGTGTATGTTTGTCATAGTTACCGGGGTCCAGGCAGCGTGGGGGAAGGTTTTTTGGTTAGTAAGTTAATTATAAAGTAGGTTTCAGGATAAAAAGAAACTTATAGAACCGAATAACTAAATAGATAACACAAAACTTGTTCGTGTATGGTTGGATTGCAGTTGCAATGCAGTCCGTCTGACTAGAACCTACGTCGAGGGCAAAAACGTAATATTTGCAAGATACTGACCTGATACACTCGCCGATGGACTTCTAGGACTTGTTATAACTCTCCTTTCTGCAACAAAACATTATTGATTACAAAATCATATAAACATTATCAATACTACTTTAAAGAACGACTGAAATAATAACTTTTCTGCGCTCTTATACTTTTATCTACCAGAACTACTTAGAACACTTTAAAGTGTTCGAGAGCCATGCTTCGGCACGAATGGGCCGGCTCGACCGGAGTCATACCACGACCGCACAGAAAATCGACGTTTATTTTTTTTTTATCTATAAACTTTTTGGGGCTTTTATCGCAGATATGTGAGCCCCATCTTAAAACTGACGTGAAACAACGCTTGCGGGGAGACTCAAATACCCCCCCCCCCCCGTATCCAATCTCCCCAACCCTGAATCCCCAACAATCTTCAAAATCTTAATCCCAAAAGGCCGGTAACGCACTTGTATTTTCTCTGGTGTTCCATGTGTCCATGGGCGACGCCGATTGCTTACCATCAGGTGATCTGACTGCTCGTTTACCAAGTTATACCATAAAAAAATATCCTCACCAGTGCCGACATGATGCAGACTGTCCAGACTGCCGATGTTCCGCTCCCGCTCGATCTGTTTCTGCGCGGCGGAGTCCAGGCGGGCGAACAACTGCTCCGCGTCGTCTGGGAAGTGACGCTTGTAGGCCGCGTACGCTCTGCATACATATTATTGGTTAGATACGAATTTTATTTGATATTATTGAGAGCGACTGCTTCGTCAGCCAAATGGTCGCAAGTACGAAATGAAAAATGGGTGATACATTGTACAGTGGCATTAAGGGCCGTAATGCGCACCTCTGCCTATACCTTCTGGGGTAAAAGGCGTGATGATATGTTATGTTGTAAGCCGTTTTTGTAGTTGAAACTTTAATGTATTACTTCGACTTTTAATTTCTTGTATTTGTTAAGACTTCTTTGGATAATTGTTATCAGTACCTCCGTCCGTACGTCCTGCAGCCACTGTCGGCGTCGACGCAGGCCCGGCGGATCGCGTCCCGCACTGCGGCCTGCTGCTTCTCTATCGTCGTCGCCGGCCACTTCTCCAACATTAGCACTAGGACCTCACTGTGAACATATTTAAAGCAAAATTTGTATTTTTTCTTTCATATTTGATGGGTCTACTGTAGGCTGCGCGACATCGCCGCGACGTCACACGCTGCTTATGAAGATGAGCCTCTCTATGGCTCGAAACTAATAGTTTTTCTCTCGTTATTTTCACGGGATTAACCCGCCATTTTTAGTCACTTTGTTCAAGTTTGCATAGCGATCGAGTATTAATTTTGGTCACAAGTAGGTATTTTAACTTCTCACAAGCAAGTCATTTGGAAACGGCTGATGATTTTTTTTTGGGATAAGCCGGTAATCGAACAGACGGATCACCTGATGGTAAGCAATCGGCGTCGCGCATGGATACCCGAAAATCCAGAGGCGTTACAGGCCTTTTGGGAAATAGGAATTTGAGGATTGTGGGGGATTCGGGGATTGGGGAGACTGGGGAAGGGGGTATTTGGGCCTCCGGTAACCTCACTCACACGACGAAACACAACGCCAGCGTTGTTTCACGTCTGTTTTCTGCTCGGCCGTGGTATCACTCCAGTCGAGCCGGCCCATTCGTGCCGAAGCATGGGAATGATGATGACGACAGTACCTGAGCGTGGAGCGGATCTCCTTGGACTTGTTGGTGGTGAGGTTGGTGACGATGACGGGCAGTAGTCGCGGCGAGTGCACGTACGTCACCACGTACCGCACGCACACCGTGCCCGCTGACGACACCACCTGCGGCGGACGACAACGTGAGCTAATGTACTGCTCTATTTTATATGGGAAGAGAACTGAGACATCGTATAAATAATTATGTACAATCTCGAACTAACCTAGTAACATATATTTTTTTTAATTTTCCAATAATCCAATCATTTTGTGGAGTTTCGAATTTTTACATTCTTGTTTAAGTGGACGTTTTCTCATTAATGAACATTATATAGATAAAAATCATTATTATTATGTCTTTTTATAGATGTTATTGTATTTATACTTTAAGAAAAAAAGCTTTGGATTCTTTTTGATTCTTGTCTGATTGAAACCGACCCCTTTGGCCATTAAAATTTTGGAGAGGACCCGTTGTGTGCAATACCAGTTTATGACACATTCCTCTACGTTGAAATACTCAAACGTCACTCAATTTGAAGTCGCGCTTATGTATACTTCCATCACTACAAATTCTTTCTAAAATTTGTATAATAACTATCGTGAGACATACTAAATTAACTAAAAATTCGCGGGTTTCTCACGTGAATATACTGAGATCAGTACCAGTAAGCTGCGCGACATCGCCGCGACCGCGCACGCTGCTCATGAGAAAGAACCCCTCTGTGGCTCGAAACTAGTAGAGCTTTCCTCAGTGAGTAACCCGCAAATTTTAGTTAATCTTTGTAAAATGATAGACATGGCACGATATTTAGGTACAACTTACCACCAATAGGGTAGATGCTTAATTTTTATTTTAGATTATTTTAAATCATTACACACATATTTTTAATTTTCTTACAGAAACTAATACATTCAACGATATATTAATTTGAAATGTCGCGTGACGTCACTTCTATGTACATTTTATACGTAGAAATGACGTTTTAGCCCCCACTCCTAAACTTTGATTCATTTTATCTAAGTATTGTTTTATTATATGACAAAATAAAAAAATACGTATCTAATATTTTTGCATTAACTTACTAACGGACTGATTAGATTTTTAATTTCCATACCCTGTCATCATCCCTATTCCTAGCGAGGAGTTGGAACATCTGACTTACCTTGGCGGCATTCTGTATGAGATTGATGAGCTCTTGCAGTATGTAGAGACTGAACTGGTCGATCTTGTTGCGCAGAACCTTGGCCATGTGCGCTATCGTTATACACGCCTCGCGTACTACCTGTAGGCAAAATAGTATTGTAATATTATAGTCGATTGAGTGTAAAATCGCGCCTGTCTCCCATTGGGGGTAGGCAGAGACAGTGGAACGCCAAATTCATGTACATTCATCAATCCCTTCGTCTGCATGTATGCTCGTCGATAGATATAATAAATACATAACATCGCAACGTAGGCAGATGTGCACATTACGGCACTTAATGCCACTGTACAATGTATCCCATTCCCATGTAATAGGGGGTGAGCCTATTGCCATATACCAGGCACAATTCCAGACTTCGAGCTACTACTTTTTTGAATCCCAGTAATACTTTGTTCGACCCTGGAATCGAACCCGAAACCCCTTGCCCGGTAGTCGCACTTGCGACCAGTCTGCAAATGAGGCAGTCGACAGCAACGATCAGTAGACAAATACAATAAATTATCACTACAAAGTTGCAATCCGCCGTCTGTCTGTCCCTGTGTATGCTTAGATCTTTGAAACTACGCAACGGATTTTGATGTGTTTTTTTTAAATAGATAGAGTGATACTTATGGAAGGTTTGTATGTATAATACATGGATATTGCACCCGTGCGAAGCCGGGGCGGGTCGCTAGTATATCAATAAATAAACAACTAGCTGTTGCCCGCGGCTTTCCACGTTATGTATGTATGCACATCTTCTTTTTAAATCACACACCAAGAATTATTGGGTAGTTTTAAAGATCTAAGCATACATAGGAACAGACAGCGTTTGTATTATACTTGACTTTGACATTGGCAACATGTCGCGATTCCAGCACGGAGCAACTCTTTGTGTGATCCACAAATTGTTGTTCCGGGTCTGGGTGTCATGTGTATGTGAACTTGTATGTTTGTAAACGCACCCACGACACAGGAGAAATTGGTAGTGTGGGGTAGTTTTACGAAAAAAAAAAATGTGATTTGAACGAACCTGACTCCTGAGATCCTTGATGACGACGAGGAATGGCACGGACAGGTCCTTGAGATGTGCCGCGAACTCCGTCGGGTACTGCTGGTGGGCGTTGGCAGTCAGGAGGGAGCGGATCTTTTTTAGCTGTCGAGGAAGTAAGATTATTAGGTATTTTCTATTGTTAGACGATGAAATTTAACTAAATGACTGACACTAGTTTAATCTGTGTCATCGGCAACACTATATTCGCCGTATAAAATAAATAAATATATAAAGAAAAGTTAAATATTGTTTCAACAAACCATCTCAACAACTACATAATATCAATATGAATTTTTAGTATAGGCAGTACTGTTTTTATCATAAGGGCACGCAGAGCCCGTGCCCAGGGCCCCCGTGGTCAGGGGGCCCGCGGCAGCCAGTCACCGCGCAACGTATAGCGGGTTTGATTTCCGCACGGAGCAAATCTTTGTGTGACCTACAAATTGGTGTTTCTGATCTGGGTATATGAACTTGTATGTTTGTAAACGCACCCACGATACGGGAAAAAATCTAGAGTGGGGTAATGTTAAAAAAAAGAAACATTCACAATGGGCCCTGAAATATTGTGTGCCCAAAGGCTCTTGTCTAAGACGGCCCGGAGTACAGGTCCTATTATATCAACATACGACCATGTACGACGTCCTTAATAAGGATTGCAGTGTATACTGACAGCGTCGACCCTCTTCTCCCAGTCGGCGGCGCGGTCGCCGAGCAGCGCGGCGGCGTGGCGACAGAGGTCGTCGAGGCCGCGCGGGCCGTACACGGCGGCCGGCGCCGACGACAGGAAGGCCGCCTCGAACGCCTCCGACGACACCGCGCCCGCGCCCGACTCGCCCGTCGCAGACGCGTGCGTCGCCGTCGACACTGGGGGATTAACATAATATATTAATGCATTTATCATCATCAACAGTCTATAAGTGCGATTTCAAACTTATATAACTAGAAACTATAAGCCCAGGTTTCCTCACGATGTTTTTCAGTGGTGTCTAAATAACGTCTGATACACCTCGGAGAAAGTCACATTGATACTTGCCGTTGGTAGGTTTCAAACTCACACCACTAGTAAATAATAATAAAAAGTATATAAAGCATGTAGACAAAACTTGTCATTATCATCATCATCATATATTATAATACTCGAGCACAACTGATTTTTAACAGACTTTTCAATTCGGCCGGTACGTAAACACAAAAAGAATTTTCAAAATCGGTTCATAAACAACGGAGATATCGGCGAACAAACAAAAAAAAGCATATATACGGTCGAATTGAGAACATCCTCCTTTTTTTGAAGTCGGTTAAAAATTAAAAATCAAAATGTAATAAACCTATTCAGTCAATTATGGCCATGGCGTCATTAAAACCATATCAAAAACTAGCTGTTGCCTGCGACTTCGTCCGCGTAGAAAATGATTCATGTTTTATCTTATGAGAGCATTTAGTTAAGATAAAAAGCATCACCTAAGTCAGCATAGTATACCTTGTATAGCAAATGTCATCAAAATCCATTCACTAATTTCAGGGTGGCTTTTTTAGGCAAACGAGCAGACGGATCTCCTGATGGTAAGCGATCAGCGCCGCCGATGGACACCCGGAACACCATTTTTTTAAGGGGGGAAAATCATCGAATGACTGCTCCCGCCTGAGTGAGGCGGGATTGAGTGTCAGATTCTTACTGACTAAAATCCACCCCGTTCCTACTCCTGCACGTCGAGCCGGAGCCCCGGTTACCCGTTAGGTTCTCCGCGACACATAAGCAGTCGGATTGACGGCCAAACATTCACATTTGTAATATTAGTATTATGACAATCTTAGTAAATGAATGCTTAGAAAATTAATAATAGTAATGAGTGATCAACTTACCACTAGCCGCGCTGGTCATCTTGGCAGGCGGGGGCTTCCGACTAGCGGAGGGCAGGCTGTACAGCCCGGGAACTGTACGCTTCGGCGCCTCGCACGCTACGTGCCATGGGAGTGTTAGTTATGGAGAAAGATAGGAGTTTCAAGAATGATCTTAATTTTGTATGTTATACTGCTAATATAAGAGATTTTTTGGTATAAATAGTCGTTAGAGACTAGAATACATTAGTGATTATTAGTGACCACCCCTATTGTTTTAGTGGGTATCGTACACCGACTGAGGGACTACACATTTAACGAGAGACCGAGCACCAGAGCTCTGTGATAAACCTGAACTTAAATTGCGATCTGCAGCCCTTTTTTTATGGAATAATCTGGTACGTGAGCAGACTGATCACCTGATGGTAAGCAATCGGCGTCGCCCATGGACACCTGGAATGCCAGAGGTGTTTCAAGTGCGTTACCGGCTTTTCGAGGATTGTTGGGCATTCAGGGATTGGGGAATTGGGTCCAGGTAATGGATGGTCCGGTCTGCCAAGCGCAGAGACTATGGTATAGCCATAAGTCTAACAGTGGTTGGAGATCAAAATTTAAAAGGTTAAAGTTTATCGGAGGACCCAGCTGTTCAGTCATCATCAAATCAGTAGTCTCTCAGCCGGGTATACGACACCCACCACAAGAATAACGATGGTGACAAAAATACATTATTGATAAAATATAAATCTCGTTTTATTGGCAGTATTAAATTATTATAACGGTGATATTATAGATTTTATTACTTCATAATTATTGTATGCGAATATCTTATGTATTTTAAAAAGTTATGGTGATAGTTATCTCTGAATTGAAACACCATGGTGATAATGAGAACCCATGGGAAGATAATATAAGTAAAGTTATGTGAAGAAGTATTTTTATTGATTGGAATTGAGAAATTATGTCGGAGTTTTAATGTGGGTGAATGTTAGCATTTTACTGTACCATCATCATCATCGTCAACAGCCTATAAATGGGCAAGCCTGCAGACAAGGCCTCTTCTCACACGGAGAAGGTTTAAGCATTAATCACTACACTGGCTCATTACGGGTTTTAATTGTCCTTTTATCTTTTTGAAGGTTATTCCATGAGGAAGAACCCCTCTGTTGTTCGAAACTAGTAGAACTTTTCTTAGTATATTCACGTGAGTAACCCGCGATTTTAGTTAATATTATTTATTATAACCCCGCAATTACAACATAAAAAACTCAATATTTACCCACATTATAATTTCAACATATGCAAGTTATTATAATGACATCATTCCACTACAGACCAATATCAAAATGGGTAGTAGGTTCAATTACCTGGCGTGGAAGCTCCGGAGCTGTCACCGTCTCGGGACCGCGCTGAGGTTGGTATCGTCATTGTACGTTTCACCGTCCGGGATATGAAGTCTGGTTCGTCCGCCCCCGCTGTCGCTGTAGAGATTATAGAAAAGAATATAATTTATTAGCATTGAATGTATGTACATAATATAGTCTTTTTTTATGACATAAGCCGGTAAACGAGCAGTCGGATCATCTGATGGTAAGCAATCGGCGTCGCCCATGGACACCTGGAATACCAGAGGCGTTACAAGTGCGTTACTGGCATTTTGGGGATTAGGAGCTTGAGGATCGTTGGGGATTCAGGAATTGGGGAGATTGGGGAAGGGGAGGGTAATTGGGCCTCCGGTAACCTTACTCACACGACGAAACACGACGCAAGCGTTATTTCACGTCGATTTTCTGCTCGGCCGTGGTATCACTCCGGTCGAGCCGGCCCATTCGTGCCGCAGCATGGCTCTCCCACACTTAAAATCTTCAAGTCTTACAAAAGTGGTATATCGTTCCTGGTACATTCTACCATATGGCATGCAAAAATTTTATAAATCTTAAAAGCTATGAACATAATGAACTATAATAGTACCAGTAGGCAGTAGAAGTCCAGCTTCTCTAGCCTCGTCAAACTTCTGTTCCAGCAGCGCGAACTTCTGTGCGGGCAGCAACTCTTTCTTCTTCAAGTCTTGTCTTAGTCTCTCACCTGGAATATAATAACAATGATTTTGAGAGGAGAAAAATTGCAGAGTAGAATGCATTTTGTTAATTCCCTTTTTTTAAGGGGGGGAATATCATCGAATGGCTGCTCCCGCCTTAGTGTCAGACTCTTACTGACTAAAAACCACCCCGTTCCTTCTCCTGCACGTCGAGCTGGAGCCTCGGTAACCCGTTAGGTTCTCCGCGGCTCAGTATCGGCATCAGTCCTGTTGGGCCCCATCCGTGGTAGTCTGATGGCTTTGTTAATACCCTTACTCGGTCTGTCGGTGTCATAAATCGACTAAGGAACTGTGGGGGCCCTTAGTTAAGCATTATATTACGCCTACGCGCGATATTTGGTTCATAGCAGATATAGGCCAGAATCGTGGCAATATGGTATATGCCTAATTTGTATTTTAATATCCGTCTGGTAGATTATTTTAAAATCATAGACACATCGTATTTTTTATTTTCTTACAGAAAAAAAATACTTTCGACGATATATTGATTTGAAATGTCGCGTGACGTCACTTCTATGTCCATTTTATACGTAGAAATGACGTTTTAGCCCCCACTCCAACTTTTATTCGTTTTATCTTTATATTGTTTTATTACACGACAAAATAAAAAAGTACGTGTCTAATATTTTTACATTACCTAACTTATGGACTAAATAGATTTTTAATTTTCATATCCTGGCATCATCCCAATTGGCACTTTAATGTTTCTGCCTACCCCAATAGGAAACAAGCGTGACGATATGTATGTAAAGAAGTAGTAATGTACACACCAACATGTCTGTAGACGTCGACGAGTAGTTGCATGGCGGCGTCCCTGACGGCCGCGCTGGGGTCCCCCACCAGCGCCGCCAGGTTGGGCACCGCCGCGCGCAACTGGAGCTCAGTCGCACCGTGGCTGGAATTATATTAGACTTATTAATATAATAGTAAGGTTTTTTTTGGGGGGGGGGGGGGGGAAA